TGCCTGGCACTATTCCAGAAGCAGGGATGTGGCTTAGAACAGGATTCGGACTCCTGACTGTCATCAAGGGTACAGTCTGGTAGGAACAGTTGACAAAATAACATCATGTAAATAAAATACGAGCTGGGCATGGCACATAGGCAGAGGCCAGAGGATCACAAGCTTGAGCTCAGCCTGGGCAACTTAGCAAGACCCTGTCTCAAAAATACACAGACAAATAAAGGCTGGGAGTGTGGCTCAGTGCAAAGGCCCTGGGTTCAATCCCCAGTACTGTTACTGTATATGCCAAATGGTGATATAAGATATATACTGTGGAAAAAAGCCAAATCCAGGTGAGTGCCCATGTTCTGAGGTTGATTTATCCCAGGTAGCCAGGAAAGGCATCCCTGAGGTGACGCTTAAGTGACACCCCAATGACAAGTGTCAGCCATTTGAAAATCTGGGGGAAGAGCATTCCAGGCAGAAGGAGCAACACATGCAAAGGGCCTGGGGGTAGGAATGAGTTTGAAAAGTGGCCAAGAAGCTACTGGACTGGAGCCAGGCATCTGGGTGGGGTGTGGTGGAAGCCAGCGGGAGCAGCTTTTCACTCTGATACTGCGAGCCTTGGAGGGCCCGGATGAAATCTCAGATCTCTGGCTGCTATGTGGAGAGGGGCCTACAGGTGGCAGCAGAGAGACCACTGAGGAAACAGGAAAGGGGTTTGCGACATTTAGGAGAAAACCACTCCCTGGCAGTCCTGGCCAGTACCCTCACGCCACCCCCCAGCTTCCTCTACATCCCTCAATCCCTTGAGTATTTCTGGCGCCCACCGCTGTCACCCCGTCACGTCGCCCGTCTCTGGGTTCTCCCCAACAACCTGGGAGCTCCTAAGGGCCAGGCCTAGGCCTTGGCTGTCTGCCCGGGGCTGGGTGCTGGGCGGAGGCATCATACCTGTTCCCTCCATGCTCAGGAAACTGAGCCCAGGACCCCCTTCCTGGTCAGGCCCTGAGGTTTCAGTCTTTCCCTCAGCGCCTGGCACTGGTTTTTGTTTTTTCCTGTACTGGGGATTGAACCCAGGGCCTTCACACTGAGCTACATTCCTGGCCCTCTTTATTTTGATAAAGTGCCTCACTGTGTCACAGTGTGGTCCAGGCTGGGCCTGAACTTATGATCCTCCTGCCTCAGCCTCCCAGACTACTGGTAGATGTATGCCACCGTGCCTGACTTGGCACTGTTGTGTTTGCCCCCATCTTACACATGAGCAACCTGGGGCTCGGCAAGTTTAGGGGATCTGCCCAGAGCTACACCGTGTGCAGGCAGAGCCAAGAGGTGGCTGTCCTCTCCACAGGGGTGTGCCGTGCCACCACGTCCTGTTGGTCATACTCCTCCGTGCCTCTTCCTTCAGCCAAATTCTGGTCATTAGGGAGCATTTGGCTCTAGGACCCCTGACACACGTGACCACGTAGTAAGCTGTGAAGGATCCACACACAGTCCCTTCTCTGCAGCCTGTTCCTGCTCTGCTCTGACCCTGCCCACCCTTCCCTTCCAGCTCAACGCCCTTTCCAGGGAGCTGGTCCTGCACACCAGGTACAGGTGAGCCCAGGGGACTTGGCACCTGTACCAGACAGTGCTGTGGGATGGCCAGGAGGTGGCTTTCAATGGGAGCCTCTCTGGGCTGGTCCCCAAGCCCTCTGAGAACTTCAGCCTGCAGGGTGAGTGTCCCTGGGGCTCTAAGTGGCTCAGCCCCACACTTGATACCTCAGCAAGCCATCCATGGGCAGTGGCTTGTCCCAGCTGCTGTTCCAGTCACTGGAGATCCACTGGGAAACAAGGTGGCCAGGTCTGGGCCCTCAGAGACAGGCAGTGAGCAGGGAAACATGTCAGGTGTGACAGAGAGAAAGAGAGAGAGAGACAGAAAGAGAAAGAGAGACAGAGGGGGAGGGGACAGGAGGGGAGAGGGAGAGCTGGGAGACAAGCAGAACTTGCTATGGGGTTGCAGGGTTAGGTGGTAGATTGGGAGGGCCCTCTGAGGAGGTGATGTCCAAGCAGAGACCTGAATGACAAGGAGCCGGCAAGGTGGAGATATGAGGAGCAGCATTGCAGGCACAGGGAGCAGGTGCAAAGCCTCTGGGGTGGCAGTGAGCCTGGGATAGAGCAGCAGCGGCAAGGCCAGTGTGGCCAGACTGCAGGGGCTGTGGGGACGGGACCCAGTCACACAAGGAGCTGGGGTTCTCTTAAGATGGAAGGGCAGGCATCCCAAGGACAGCTGTGGGGACAGTGTAGACCCCGTCCTGTGGGGCACAGATTGCTGGGTGGCCTGTGGGTTTGCCACCTGTGTGCCAGGGGAGAGGATGGGGAGGAGCAGATCCTCAGCAAGCCAGGGCAGCTGGCGCGTGGGTGTGCACACAGTGGGTGTGCGCGCATGCGTGAGGGCACATGGCCCTTGAGGGGCTGAACAGCCTGCAGTCCCTCGTGGTGTCTGGAGCCTGGGCTGGGGTCAGAGTCTGGAGGGAGTGAGGGACGCCAGTTCTGCCTGGGGGGACGGAAGTGGCTGCCACCCACAGGATGTTGATGTCAGGAGAATCAGCCAGGGCCTCGGGGCCCAACTTCCTGGGCCTGTGAGTGACCTGTGATGGATGGAGCTTCATGCAGAGGACTCAGTCTGCTCTCTGCTGAGGGGCACAGTGGACTCCTGATTGGGATGTGGGAAAGCAGACTGCCTGGTGGGGGCCAGAGCTGGACTCACCCTGGAAGGTGAGGGATGAAATCTGGGGTGCAGACTGTCCGCTGGGAAGCTTTGGCGATGAGGTACCTCCTGTGTCACGGCTCAGGATGGAGTGAGGGCAGGGGATGCCCAGCTGAGGCACAGGAGGGGTGCTCCTGAGGGGTATGGGTGTACGGAGTGGCATGGGCTGTCAGGTGTCGGGCTGCATCTGTTAGCTACTGCTGTGTAACAAATCATCCCTGATCTCAGTGGGTGAAAATCACTGTCAGTGCTCACAAGGCTGCAGATCCTCTGGGCAGCTCTGTTGTTTCTCTGGCTTCACTGACCCACCTGAGGACTGGCTGGCTGTTAGCTAACCTAACAGCCTCAGCTGAAACAGCATGATGTCACTGTCCCGTAGGCCAGCCTGGGTTTGTCTAGTGGAGGCTGGGCAGGGGAGCGAGAGAGGAAGTGGAAGCTGATGCCTCTTGAAGCTAAGGTTCCAGACTGGGGCTCCACTGATCTCACCAAGTTCCCATAGGTCATGAGGCCAGCACCAGACCAGGCTGGGGAAGCAGATTCCGCCTCTAGGGGACAGAGCCCAATTGGGGAGAGGGAGCCTTGGGGCTCCCACAGACAGCAGGTAGTTTAGTGGGGTGGGGCCTGAGTGTGCATGCAGTGTCTGAGTTTGGGAGAACTTCCCCGAGGGTGGGGCTGCCTGCCTGAGTTGGTGTCCACTCAGAGTCCCCTGTGCGCCTTTGTCTGGAGCATTGTCCTCAGCTCATGGGCCACTCTCTATGTCCCCATCACCCAGTGGCCCTCGCCCACCAGCTGCCACTCCTCCTGCCGCAGCACTGCAGCCTCCTCCTGACCGCAGAGCACAAGGGCGGAAGCCACCAAGATGAGCTGGCTGTCAGCTGGGACAGCAGGGACCAGGTAGGCAGCAGGACTGGAGGGAACACTGGGGTTGGACCGGCTGGGAGCAGACCCTGGCTCAGCTGTGCCCTCCCCAGGTGGCGATCTCCTCCTCTCTGCAGCTGAGGAAGGGTGAGCTGGCTGCCCGCCTGGCCCTGGCCCACCCCTTCACCCTGCCCTGGTGGCACGCTGAGGCCAGGGTCCTCGCCAGGAGCAGGGATGGCAGGCAAAGCCAGCCAGTGAGCGGAGCTTTGCGTGGCTGGGAGGAAAGGTGACTGATTCCTCAGTGACAGTGACTCCAGAATCGGGGGTGTCTGAGGCCAGGCACCTCAAGGGCCCGCCCTCGCCCGTTCCTTCAGCAGTGCTCCGTTGCACCTGCAGCTTGGTCTCGTGCCTAAGGGGGAACCGTTTGCCCTTCGGGGTGGGCAGGGGGTGCAGGGCACTGGACCCCCACCTGGCGGGCAGCCTCGGCAGCACCCGGAGCCTCTCTGAGCCAGTTTTTCTCATCTGCGAAGTGCACAACAGCAGGTCAGGGAGAACAGGCAGAACCCAAGCAAATGAGAAAACGAACCGTTCAGAAGTTGCCATAAGCACCACAAAGCAAGCTGAGGACACTGAGGGTCTGACCGGCTGGGCCAGCGGTCAGTGAGGGTCCCTGGGGAGGTGGCTCAGCAGCGGAGGACTGGGGGGGCAGCTGCGTGGAGCTGGAGGATGACAAGTGCCAAGGCCCTGCGGGTGGAAAGCCAGGCACGCAGCCGAGTCAGAGATAAGGCAGGGGCAGTGATGGGAGATGCGGTCAGGCGATGGGTGAGACAAGGGACTGCACAGGGCCCTGAGGCACCGGCAGGGCCTCCCCTGGCTCTGTCTCTGGCAATGCTGAGTGTGGCCCTGAAGCTCAGCATTTTTCTCCAAATGCACCTGCTCTCCCATCTGTGGGGCCCGGGCTCTTGCAGAGAGCAGCAGTGCGGGTTCCCCACCCCAGGTCCTCCAGGGATGGGATGAGCTTCTCCTCCCCCATGCAGGTGCAGCTGGCCTGGGACAGAGCACAGCCCCTGACCCTGCAGCTCACCTGGGCCCACAGGTGCTCGGCACACAGCTCGGCCTGGGTCAGCTGCCTGGCCGCCTCTCGGGGCAGGTATGTACCTGCTGATGCCTGGCCACGCCTGGGCCACCCGGCTCCCAGCCTCTGCGAGGGCCCCACTCACACCCCATTGTCTCCCTGCCAGCTCCAAGGGCCCTGGGGCCTGGGCCCCCTCCGGGCCTGCGGGGCCTTCACACACACCCCGGCTGTGCTCAGCGAGCAGCTGGATCTGAGCTGGGGCCGACACCGGGTGCAGCAGAACGCCACATACAAGGTAAGCCAAGATGCCAGGTCGGCAGTGACCACAGGCGCCACTGCTGCCCACAGCACCGGCTCAGGGGCCCCAGGGTCCAGGGCTCACTGCTAGCTGCACTGTGCGACCCCGGCCCTCGTTTCTGTGCCGAGCCTGCTTTCTTATCTATGAAGTGAGTACAGCCCCTTCCCAGTGGACTGCAGTGAGGACTCTGGGGGATAAGGCAGGTGCACAGCACACCAGAGCCCCTCAGACTAGCGCTGGGAGCAGAGGACATGGACTTGAAGGTGGGGCATGGGGCTGCCCATCTGGGGCTCTCGCTCGCCGCGAGGGGTGTTCTGCAGAGCCAGGCAGGAACCGGCCATGTGGAAATGAGGACAGCTGCCCTGCAGGCCCTCCCTCCTGCGCCACCTCCCGCTCTGAGACACCGGGCCCTGCCCCAGAGCCCTGGCAGCCGCTGTGACAAGGGCTCCACGCTGGGGTTCTGGCTGCCTGCTGAGGTCCCCCAGGGCTGGCCTGGACACCCCCTCACAGCCCTGCCCTGTGTGTCCCCTCATTCCAGAGGCGCCGGCCACTCCACGTGGACTCTGGGGCTGTGTGAGCTGCCCAGGGTGAGTGCCCTGGGGAAGGGGCCGCCGGAGGGGAGGGCCGGGGCCCTGGGTGGGGGGCAGCTCGTGCAGGGCGCAGGGCCTGGGGGGCGGTCAGATGCCAGCGTGGTGGCTCTGCCATCTGGCCTCTGGGTGACTGGCCAGGGCACGTCTCTCGGGAGCTTCTGGTGTTTGTGTGGGGGTGGAAGAGGCTCTCGGTTCCAGCACATAGGGTGCCTGGGATTCGGGAGTGCAAGGAGGAGAACCTTGGCGCCACTGTGGGTGGGGAGCTGCCGGGGCTCTTCCTGCCCGGCTCTTCCTGGCTATGTCAGCTGGCTCTTCTGTCCCTCCATCCTCCCCGGCGTTCCTATCCTCCCATTTCTCTGTCCGCCTCTTTCCCTCCCGCCCCCTGCCCCACCCATTCTCCTAAGGGACAGATATTAAGTGCCCCAGGCTTTATGTGCCCTGCAGTAACTTCCCTTGTACCATGCAAGCACCCTAGGCCACGAGCCTGAAACTTTGTTTTTCCTGGTACCGGATCAAACTTAGGACCTTGTGCTTGTCAGGCAGGCGTGGTGCCACTGAGCTACATCCCCAGCCCCTAGGCCACGAGTAATGAATAGGTCCTTGTGAGTGTGAGACAGCAGGTGGCTGTCCTGGGCACAGTCAGGGGTGGAGGCCATAGAACAGGCAAGAGCTGTGTGGCCTGGGTCAGAGCCTGGGATGGACACGGGAAGGACAGGTCGGGGAGCTGGGCCCTGGGCACCAGCGGGGGTGAGGTGTGTGAAGAACATGGTGGGGTCGACCGGACGAGGAGGTGCAGTTAGGAGACACTGCGGCCCACTGGCCCAGCAGCGGGCCTGGCTTCTCTTCTAAGCAGGGAAAATGAGGCTCTGTGTGTGAGGAAATGTTGGATATGCATTTCTTAGAGGCCTGTCCTGCTGCCAGGCAAGGGAGGGCTGTGGTGAGGCAGAAGTGGAGGCTGGGAGACCCCCCAGGCTGCTGCCCTAGTTCTTGTGCACGGTCCCAGTAGGGAGAGGACGCTGCTGTCCCTGCAGCTCCGTCACTCCCGGCTTGGGGTCGCCCTGCCAGGACCTCTCTGTCTCCGGCGCGCTCAGCCTGGGCCCCGGGCAGCTCCTGCTGCGTTCCCACTGCCATCTGGGCCTCGCTCCGGACTTGGACCATGGCCTGAATCTCAGCCTGACCCTCTACAACCACAGCAGGCCCCATGCATCTGACTTCTCTGGGGAGCTGGAAGTGAGTGTGGGCCACAGACTGCACTGGGGAACATGCCCCTTGTCCCTCACGATCCTCCCTGGGCTGTGATCCACCGCCTGGGCTCCCCTGCCATCTAGTGGTCATCACTGGAACTGCAGGCCCGCCCCAAGCTTGGGGCCAGAGCTTCACTCTGCTGAACCGCTGCGCCTGACGCCTCCCTCCCTTCCCTGGCATCCGGAGCTGGACAAGGACTGTATTTTTGGGCTGGGGTTCACTGGCCCAGCAGCTCTGGCTGTTTCAGCAGCTTTTCAGTGGAGGCCCTCGTTCTGTGGGGCTGACAGTCCCCTCTACTCGCCAGGGTAGCCTGGGAGAGAGACCCCTGTGGGCTGGCACACACTGGGCACTTAGTGAGAGCTACTTTTCTGCCTTCTCCATCCCGAGCAGCTCTTGGTGGTTCCTGCCTGTGTCACCTGCCCCGCTCTGGGGCCCTCCTCCTTAGAGAGGATAGAAGTCTCTCCCTGTCTTGTTTGGTTCTCGTAGCAATATGGTAGCCCCTGGGCAGCGAGGGACAGGTTCAGGGAGGTCAGGCTTCACCCAGCCACATAGCAGGCGGTGGGGTCCTTACCCAGCAATACCGAGGGGTGAGCTGCGGATGGGCAGCCACCAGGCCAGATGCCCTCCGCACTGCAATCAGGCTGCCCCATTAGGTTTCATGAAGATCCCTGGGCTGCAGCCCCGCCCAGCACCCGGAGGCCTCTGGGGAAGGAGCCTGTGTCTACTAAGCTGCATTAGAGTCCTGGGGCCGCTGTGACAGATTACCACCAACCTAGGGGCTTAAGACAACAAACTTCTGTCACAGTTCTGGATGCCCTGGGCGCCAAATCGTCAGCAAGGCAGTGGCCCTCGGGGAGAGTGCTTCCCTGCCGCCTCCAGTTTCTGGTGCCACTGGCAGTGTTGGCTTGGGGCAGTCATTCCAGTCTGCCTTGGCTGTCACATAGCCTTCTTATAAGGACTGCAGCCATCGGATCCTTGGCCCACTTCGGTCCAGTATGACCTCGTCTTTCCTCAGTTACATCTACAAAGAGCTTATTCCCAAAGGTCACAGTAACAGTCCTAAGGAATTGGGACTTCAACATATCCCTGAGGAATACAACCCGTATCTATTTCAGTCTCCCTCTCCCTCTCGCTCACTCTCTCTCACACACACACTTAGGGCGATTCTGATTCTTGCTGAGTTTTGAGAACCACTGCTCTGTATCACATTATAGACTTTGAAGGTGAGGTCCAGAGGGTGACTCCCTGATTCAAGGTTGCAGCTTGTTGGCTGTCTGAACTAGAATACAGGGCGGGGAGGGGGCTTCTCCCCAGCCTTTTGTTTCCCCACTGCAGGGTGTCACCTTCTCTTGGGGCTCTGCAGCTTTTCTTGACTTTGCCCAACTCCCTGGCAGACCAACCCCGCCCTGTGTCCCTCCCTGCAAGACCTGGCTGCTCTGCTCGGTGACCTGCGCTGGATGCTGGGAGGCCCCCACAGGGTCTCCTTGACCTTGCTGACACCTTTGCAGCGGCTCTGGTGCAAACCTAAAGCCTGGGCTGGTACCCAGGGTCCCCGACTGATTAAAGCCATCTCTGGAGGGCAGCCAGGGCAGCAGGAAGTTTCAGGGCCCCTGGGTGGAGGTGCCACTGTGCTGCTGGGCTCTATGGGTTTTTCCCTGAGACTTTCTGCACCTGGAGGGGATTCTGAGCCCTGCAGCAGGGTGAGGGTGGAGGTCCCCTGCCCCAGGGGTGTGGGTACCCACTGCTTTCCCTCCATCCCCTGCAGCTCCGAGGCCCCACGGCCCAGTGGGTTGGCCTGCAGGGTTGGCTCTCCACCTCAGCTTCCCAAACCCTGGCCCAGCTGGAGGGCAGCACGAACAGAGCAGAGGAGAAGAGAAGGTGAGGCTGGCTGTGTCACGCATCCCCAGCTGCCTCCAAGCCTCCGTGGCCCCCGAGGATGGTAAGTGGAAGTGGCCAGGTCCTACTCAGCTAGCTGGGACAGGCCCCGCCATGGTGCCAGAGAAGACAGGTGGGGTGCTGGGTGCTCAGAACCCTGAGGACCCTCTGTTAGGACTCCATGGCACCCCCACTCCCCCGTAGTTGCCTGTGCTACTGCCGGGTCAGGTGACCCTGGGAGGGTCTGGTCGTGCTGATGGAGACGGGTACATGGGAGTTTCGGGTGAGCAGGAGAGCTCAGGTGGTGCAGCTCAAGACCCTGAGTCTTAGGGCTTTGAGGCTTTGCCTGGACCACTGGGGAGCTACAGCAGGCTGCACAGTGCAGGAGGAGTGGGCAGCTGGGGATGCAGATGGAGAAGGCATGCGTGCAACCACAGGTCTCTTCCTGGTGCCAGGGGGCAGAGAGGAGAGCATGGTGCTGCAGGTGTGTGCCCATGGGTGGGCAGCAGAGGTGGAGGCCCTTCTCCAGGACGAGGAGCAGCCGCTCCAGCCCTTGGGACGCCTGGCGCTGCAGGCTGCCAACCAGAGCCTCCGCCAGGCGGCGCATGGCTGCCCGGGGCCCCTGCTGGACCATGTGGAGGGGAGAGGGCTGGGCAGGGCCGGGGCTGCTGGTGGTCTCTCCTTCAGGTGCCTCCATGCCCAGAAAACCAGCACTGACGGCCCCAGAGCACAGCCCACACCATCCTGGGCCCTCCAGCTGGCTCTGAGAGCCTTCTGTCCACTTCCTTCCCATGAGGCCTAGAGCCCCAGGCCGTTCCTCTGTCCCCACAGACCAGGATCGCAGCGGTTGGGTCTCAGGTGCAAACCCAGCTGGAAGAGAAGCTCAGAAGCATGGGGGACTAAGTGAGAAGATTCCAGCAGCTGATGGGTAGACCATGAGGCAGAACAGGGAAGCATGTGTGTGGAGCCCGCTCTGGCCTGGCTCTGCCCCCCGCACCCAGGCACGAGGGTCTGGAGTGCTGTATCCTCGGCCTCCACCCTGCTCTTGCCTCAGTTTCCCTGCCTAGGTGCAGCCGATGGGTGTTCTGGACAGCACGGCGGGCTTCCTGCTGCAGCTGTCCGAGGCAGGGCTGGGGACTCTACAGGCGAGCAGCCAGGCAGTGGCCCCCTGGTGGGGCCGCAGCCAGGTGCAGCTGGTGCTGACCCGCCACCTGCCACACCACCTGGAGGGGCTGCAAGCGGAGCTGGAGCAGCTGCGGACTGAGCTGGACCATGAGTGCAGGAGGGGCACACCCTGGACCAGGACCGCGACCGGGCACTGTCTCGGTCAGGAAGGAGGCCTGGTCCTTTGGGCCTCGCCCCTCATTGGCCTTCATCCCCATGCAGGATGCCACTGCCGTCCTTCCAGACCCCAAGCTAATAGCCCTGCTTAGCAAACATTCAGTACCCAAAGGCCCTCACCATTCCAGGGTGACGCCCAGGGAGGCCCCAGTGCCGTCACACAGGATGCACTCAGGTGCCTGTGACAATACCCTGAGAGATGCTGCCCACCAGGGAAGCCCTGCTGAGACAGCGCCCTGGGTTTGGTGGGTACTGTTGCATGGGCAGCCTCTGCCTTCTGGCCCCGAGGTTGTGTCTCCAGCAGGCAGGCAGGCGTGCAGGGTGAAGCACGCCACCCAAACACAGCTGAGGCTCAAGGACCCCTCAGACTGGATTCTAGGCAGGTTTCTGGCTCCAGACAAGCGCCAGCCTTGTAGCGGAGCCTTTGAGAGGACACCCCTCTTGTCTGCAGTGCCTCTCTCCCACCACCTTCTGGAGCAGGCCCTGTTTCCTTGGATTGGGTGGCAGGGCTGTGGGCAGGGGACTCCCATCCAGGCCCGAGGCCTCACGGCAGGCGGCGGTGGGCTGTTGCAGGGCCCCTGGCCACGCTGAAGGATGCCTATTTGGAGGTGGCACTGCAGCCCCTGGACAAGGTGTGGTGGGGACAGGCGGAAGAGGCCCTGCGGTGGCTGCAGGCCTGGGTGCCCACACCGCCAGGTGGCC